ATAAGAATGGTTCCTACAACTTTTGTTGGTAGATGGGCAGGAAGAAAATTAACTGATTGAATTAAACATTTGAAGGCAAACTTGGATAAAAGTAGAAGAAGAATATGGATGAAATCCAGCCCATAAATTTTCATGAAAAATCAGAAGCGCATATAAATGAAACGATTTAGCCATGGAAAGTATATAAATTCAAATAATCAGGATATGACACCTAAGGAGCTGGATTTGATGCCAAAACCTTTGGTGTATGCAAATTCTATTATTTTGAGACACAAAAGATTGAAAAATGCATATGACATTTCTTTTGCATGAAGCTCTTCTTAACAAATGGTCATGAGAAAGGATTGCCTGATCTATGGAAAGTTAGATATTAAAATAAATTAGAATATAACGTGAAATTTAAATATGACAAACTCTAGTGAATTTATCTGTCTTATTGGCTTCTTTTGGAGAGACGCATTTCAGGATTAAACCATCATTGCTGAGATTATGTGAATTCCAATTTTAGAGTTAAGTTATTTAATTGCCACAGACTAATTGCCTCAAGCTTGGTTGACCTGAAAAATGTCCATTTGTAGCCAATAATTGTCATGCCAAATGAGCATAGCTGTGTTGATTTCAAAATAATTTTTGGATTAGATTGACCTGAAAAATGTCCATTTGTTAGCCAATAATTTTCATGCCAAATGAGCATAGTTGTGTTGATTTCAAAATAATTTTTGGATTAGTATTCATGATATTTGCTGTATTTCTTTCTGGTTTGATAAACTCTGGATCCTTCACCTTAGATTACTGGTTTGCTATTTCTCACCATGTGTTTCCATTTCACTTTCTACTCCTTTTTTTTAGTTTAAAAGAGGGGAGTTTATACCTGGCATTTGGGGAAAAATCAGACTGATGTTTTTGGTGCAAAGCACCCAAATTTCAATTGACTTTGCCAGAAAAATATCAAATGCTTTGCTCAAGTGAATTACTGTATTTAAATCACCCAACCAGGGACACCTGGTTGATACCCTTGGTGACACCAAGGGACAGTAGGTACACCTTAGGTAGTACCATAATGATGACCCAACTCAGATTTCTGCTTGGACTTCTCCAAGAACCGTTTCCACGTAGACATACCGGTGTGCCATCACATTTTTAAAAAGAAATGGAGCATAACAGTTGAAAAATCACTTTGCACGAGTCATTTTAAGAAGGTAGAGCAAAGCAGATGTGGCAAGAAACAATGGGAAAGGAAGGCAGGTGCTGGTGATCATCAGCTTGAAAGAGAAACTTGGATGCAGGGAATCCCTCTCCTGCTGTAATGGAGATGATGACCAGGCTGGACATGAACAGCATTTCACCCACCTCACCATCCTGCACACCAATATCCAGGAGCAAACTGGGCCCTTTTCAGGGCTGACTAAAATTTAAAGCATATTATTAAGGGCATTGTCCAAATGCCTCTTAAACCCTGAGAGGCTTGGGACATCAACCACCTCTCTAGGAACCCTCTTCCAGTGTTTGACCACCCTCTTGGTAAATAAATGCTTCTTAATGTCCAGCCTAAACCTTCCCTGGTGCTGCTTTGAACCATTCCCACGCGTCCTGTCCTTAGACCCCAGGGAGAAGAGCTCAGCATCTCCCTCCCTCTCCACTCCCCCTCTCCAGGATGCTGTGGAGAGCAAGGAAAGAGAGAAATACTTCTGTGCACCTGGTGTCTCAGGCTTTGAGGCACCCAAGGGGAGGGTGAGGGTGCCAGCGGTCAGCGGTGGGATGCGGACACCGAATCACAGAATCTTCTAGGTTGGAAGGGACCTCAAAGATCATCTTGTCCAACCATCAACCTAACTTTGACAAAAATAGACACCCTCACAACAAACAAGAAGCATCACCACCCTTCCAGCGCCCAGCGAAGTAGGTACCAATGCCACTAGATGGCATCGCCGTCCCACAATTAACCAAACTCGCTCGTTTTCAGCGCGGGAGTGACGCAGCAGGCAAGTTTGGGACAACTCGGCTGCGGCTTTTGAGGTCAAAATCCAGCTTTTGCAGAGAACTACTTTTTAAGTGTATATGGGCACACGCTTGTGTCTCGCCGCTGCCGGGCGATGGGGGATGAAGGACACGATGGTGATAAAACTACGATGGGGACCGTCCTGCTGAGGTACCACCACGTTACAAACAAATCAGAGCCCTGCAAAGCCACGGCAGAGATTGCTGCTCCTCGGTCATTGCCATCACGACACCTTCCTCACCTTGAGAATTCAGGTGAAATGTAGTAGTTGCCAGTGAGAGGACAAGGGGCAATGGGCACAAGTTGGGACATAAAGGGTTCCACTTGAATATGAGGAAGAACTTTTTCACAGTGAGGGTGGCAGAGCCGTGGAACAGGCTGCCCAGGGAGGGTGTGGAGTCCCCTTCTCTGGAGATTTTCAAGACCTGCCTGGATGCTCCTGAGTAACATGCTCTGACAAGCTCTGGGTGATCCTGCTTTAGCAGGGGAGTTGGACTAGATGATCCTCCATCTCTAAAAATTCAGTGAAATTCAGTGAAAAAGGAAAGAAAGTTGTCAAAAGCTCCACGTTCCATAACAAGAAGTATTTTTCCCGTGGGTTAGACTGTCCCAAAGGAGTTAAGTTACGTTTGGGTGTTTTCCAGGGATTGCTGCTTCCTGGTAGAAGGGTTTCTGCGAAGCAAAAAGAAATCAGCATTAACAAACAGATAATGCATAAGTGTTTTCATGTCCTCGAGTGTCAGCTCTACTGAGAAAGGGAGAATTTAATGAGCTCTCTGTAGACTTGTAAATTTGTACATTTAGAAGGCATGTGAAGTAAATTTTCTTGTTTACATGGTCGATGTCTGAGACTTACAAGAAGATGCAGCCAACCCACGCTGCAGTTTGCCACCAGGCACTAGACTAACACAAATAATACCACTCTGCAGGTCTGCTCTGACCTGATGGATACAACCCACGTTACACCGGTCCCTGTGGTTGCAGCCGTAGCTGTTCCACAGCCAGGAGATGAGCAACACCATGGAAAACAAACCAGCCCCTCTGAGGAACAGGAGAACCCGTGGGCCAGGTGGTACCCGGAGGTCGATTTGCTGCAGGGATGGCTCCAGGTAATCAATAAGTGCAGGGAAATTAAAAAACTTTCAGTTTGATGTTGGGGGTCGCGTTGTTTCCTGAAGTAATTTCACTGAAATGGAAAGAAGATCACCCCTCCCACTCTTGAGATTTGAAGACAGATCTTCTAAAACTTCTCTGGAAGTACTGGAGTTTGGCTGAATACCCTGTCAGCCGCGTCAATCAGCTATTTCTGATTTTGCAATGTGCAGAGAGGAACATTCAGTGCCAACTTTACATTAGTAGGATAATGGTTTTCAACTCTAAATTTTTTCCTCCCAGTGAAGACGCGAATGCCTGTGATTACTGATGATCGGCTTGTTTTAATTAAGCATTTCCCAAAGTTTTGAGGAAGCAGGTGTGCCTTGCTGCAGGTCAGTGGGCTAAACCTTTCCTGGCCCATCCTGGTGGTACGACGAAGGGCCGGGGCAGGGACAAAGCACGGGATGGCTCTGAAAGGGTGTTAGACACGAATCCTTGCCCTGGCACCACCCTCTCTGGCTGTGTATATATATGTGTTTATATATAAATGTGCAAAATGGGTTATCCCTCTCCTGCTCCAGGGCAGAAGCCATCCTCTGACTGCCTGCCATTAGGAAGAAACCTGATCTCCTGAGAGGTTCCTGCATCCCTGAAGCATCCGCTGGGATCCGCTCCCAGGGAAGGGGTGTGGGGTGAGACAGACCTGCCACGGGACACCAGCCCCCCGTTTCAGAAAGAAATAGCTCAGCTATAAGAATGATTTTGAAAATGCAATGATCTGGTCATATAGATGGACTTTCACACCTGCAGTCGCACACCCAAAAAGCAGATCGACAGACTAAATATTGGAGGTGATTGATTTTATTTGTGGCATCTCATGATGCCACCTGGAGTATTTTAATTCTCTACCACTATATCCCCATTATATTTCCTTCCCCATTATATTTCCCTATATATGACTATAGCTACTGCCATGCCTTTTAGACATGCCTGTTACCTGTATTTCTGAGGAATGGTCTGCAGTTTCAAAAAGCCAGACACACTCTCTAGCAAAATAATATAGAGAAATGCAATTTAAAATCAATTGTTCATTAAAACACGCTATGTCTGCCAGCAAAATGAAAATAAAATTTAGATTATTTTCTTCTATTTTAACATCGGTGGGAGAAAACATAACCCAAAACTTTAATGGGTTTAATGGGAGAGCAAGAAATGCAGCCGAAAATGGGGGGCAGTGCGTTTTGGGGAAGAATGGGGGGGGCAGTGTGTT